TATAGAAAATTTGCGAAAAATAGAAAAAATGCAGGTTTTCGTCTTAAAATAAAAAGAAAATGAAATATTTCCTAGTAAAATACAGAACTAAGGCCCAAACCCTAAAAAAGAATCCAAAAAAAAGAAAAAAAGAATTCCCAAAAAAAATGCATCTCCTTGAAGATAACAAGCCCGATGAAAATAGTAATGGTAATAATAACAATCATAATGGCAATAGTACTACGAATCACAACAACAACAATAATAATAATAACAATAACAATAACAATAACAATAGTAATCGCCCGTAACCCTAAACCCTAAACCCTTAATTGACATAAATCGTGAACCCTGAGCCGAAAGCCGGGCTCCGGGCCCGGCAGCTGAACGCGCAGCCACGCGAGGTGTGACATCAGCAGGGGTTTAGGGTTTAGGGCTTTAGCGTTTTGGGGTTTGGGGGTTAGGGTTTAGGGTTTTAGGGTTTCGGGGTTTCGGAGTTTAGGGTTTTAGGGTTTCGGGGTTTAGGGGTTTAGGGCAATCGGGGTTGAATGGGGCTGGGGGGGTTTTGCTTGGGGCTTGGAGGGCCGAGAGTTTGGGGTTTTAGGGGCTAGGGGTGCTGGGGCTACTTGGGAGGGTGTGCAGCTTGGGTTTGAAGTGTGGGGCTTGGGTGGATTTGGTCCTTGCTTCGGGCTCAAGGGCTAAAGTCGAGGCCTCGCGGGAATTCCGTAACCATCGGAGCTAGCGAGGGAGTTGAACATGCTTTCCAGCTGAGGAGGCTGCACTCACTACTCACTCTCAGAGCTGCAGAGAGCTGCATGCATAAGCCCGCAGGTCACAGAAACCGAGAGAGCGTATGAGGATTGCCGGCACGACTCCCTGGCCACAAGATCTTCAAAGGCGAGAACGACTTTTCCACCTGCGCACGGTCTGACGAGCTCTGCGAGCTCTGCCCTCGCCCGAGCTTTCCAACGCTCCGGGCAGGCGGTGGCCCTCCTCAGCCGAGGTGCCTCAAGCCTCCTCGAGTTTGTCACCGAAGATTTGCCTGAGCAATTTTTCGACTCCATCTCTGCGAGGCCTCTGCGATGGAGCTCTGTCATGGAGCTCTCTTGGGGCCTGGCGCCTCGAAGGCCCTGCCTCCTTTCATCGGCTGGCAAGAAAAGGTGCAGCTGACTACCGAACTGCCGCCCCGACCTGAAAATGGTAGATCTTTTGGTGCTCCCGACTCCTCATGCCTTCGGGAAAGCTGAAAGTCTTGCGAAGGCTCTACCACGCTTTTGAGGCCCCTGCGGTTGCTCCTCTGGCCCGGCTTCCTGGTGAGGCACCTGCTGCGATGGAGACCGGTCCGGTGGGCAGAGGCAAAGCCACAACTCGCGACCACCTGCGACTTTTCGCGGCTGTCCTTGGCCGCTTCCTTGGCGAGTCGCTGCCTCTCCTCCTCAAGCTTCTTCACTTGCTCTTCAGCCTGCCGCTGGTAAATATGTTACGATATGCTTGCCCCCTTGCTCACACTCTTCATGAAGCCCATGAACCATCTCTCAGACATGCGAAGAGAGTCTTGAGCCTCCCTCTTCTTCTTCTCAAGGGCAGATAGCTTATCTTCAAGCGGAGGTTTGTCGTCGCTTTCCTCGTCGCTGTCGCGGCTGTGGGTGCCGTCTTTGCCAGGTTCCTTGGACTTCTTCTGACTTTCCACGTCCGCTTTGGTATGCAGCTCCTGGCTGCTTTCCTTGTCCTTGTCGGAGTGGGTAGCGTCGTCGCCAGACTGCCGATGCTTCCCGGTACCTTCCACATCTGCTTTCTTGGCGTGCAGCTCCTGGTTGTCCGACGGCTTGGCCTTGTCCTCGGACGCCTCGCAGGAATTCGTCGAGCACACTCAGTTTCCTGTGCAATCCCTCCTTCGACATGAATACCGTGTGTCGCCCCTTTCTTCGTGGCGAGCAGCTGTGACGGACGCGGAGGTACTCCATGCGGAGGCGGTCGCATCAGTGCAGCAGGTGTAGCTGACGGGGCCTTGCTGCCACTGCGGTGATCAACGGGCACAGCGACACCAAGCTTTCCACACTTCAATCGCATTAGTGCAGCCAAGATTCTCATCTGAAGCTTCAGACATATTTGGCCAGTACCGCAGCTCGAGGTGCACTCTTTCTCCGTGTAGCTTGTGCATCTCTTCTGGTCCTCACAGCAGAAGGCTCAGACGTGTTCTCAACCTGAAGCTCAGCTCTGCATCTCAAAGTGCAGTGCCCAATCTTCTTGCAGATGTGCTTCGTACTTCGGGCACTCCGAGGTCCAAGAATCCTCCCGCCAACATTCCTGAAATCTGCCGCAGAAGGTGGAGAGTCTCGTTAGGAGTGGCTGTTTTTACCGTGACCTCTAACTATAATATAGTGGTGTCCTAAGTTCCATTTCCTTTCTGGGGGAGGTTGTACTGTTTAGGTGCCAGCATGCGAGGGGCACCTTGAACCGAGGCCCCGCGAAGACCGCATTCACTTCGAAATCCTTTGGCGGTTAACTAAAATACGCGATGACCCTTATAAGCCTAGTACGATAGTTCTTAAAAAACTATACAACTCGACACACAACCTTTCAAACCCTCATGAAACGAATATCAGAACCCCCACAACGGAGGGATTGAGGGGTTCCCTTTTTTTGGGAGGCCCAACCCTCCTCAGTGCATCGCCGAGCCGAGACACATTCGCTCGGCTCAACTCTCGGCGCATCACGAGGGCTGAGTCCTTCTCGGGGTTTGCGGTCTTGAGCCTTGCTTCAGGGGCCTAGGGGCCTAGGGTTTAGGGTTTAGGGTTTAGGGTTTAGGGTTTAGGGGTTCCATAAAGTAGGGGCTTCATCTAGGGCGGTTTCTAGGGCTTTCACGGGGGGTTGATGCAATATCGGAGTTCATGTCGGATTCATACATGGCTTTCAAAGGGTCGGCTCTTAACCTTGAACCCGAAAGCCCAATCCCTGAAACCGTAACCCCCAAGCGCGACACGAAGCCAAGGCAGGGGATTAAGGGCTCCTTTGAAGGGATCTACTGGGGTTCCTTTGAGGGCTCTAGAAGGGTTCCTTTAAGGGATCTACAAGGGTTCCCTTTAAGGGATCTACAAGGGTTCCCTTTAAGGGATCTACAAGGCCCCACTCCTTCTGGACGCTTCCATCCGAGAGAACTTCTGCGTGGTGAGACATGGCCTTGCGGAAAAGCTTGCAACACGGGCCGTCTAAAGAGGGCCCAACGGTCCTTAACAACAGAGCCCGCCTTAAAATGAAAGGACCCTTCCTACGATTCAAGATATCTCCCCTAATGCATTGCAGTGGGCTGTCAGCTCCCCTCGCGCATGGGATCGCATGAAATGCTCGGCCTCTGCATGCCTGCAGAACTCAGCGAAGACAACAACCTCGGTCAAGGTCTGCCTTCAGAATGGGGACAAGGTCTCGGGGCACATTACGGCAAAGGGGACCAGTAGAGGGTACCAAGCGGAGAACCTTCAACCCAGCAACGTACCTGTAAACATAGCTATGGAAACAAAGATCCTTGGCTGTCAGCAGCCACAGTCAGAGTCATGGTGATGGTCGTAGATATCCTCATGGCAATAACTGTAAGAAAATGAACGGCTGCAATAGCGTGGAATAGCAATAACAATGGCAAATACTTGCCAAGGAAGCAATTAGAATTGGAACTGTACTAGTGTCGTATCTTGTGGATGCAGCCTAGATGCATGGATGAGGACTGTGAGGATGTGTCCGTGCATCCTGAACCATCCAGCTTGTCAACAGAGCTCTAACGATGCGCAGAACCATCACGGCTTCTGCTCCGCATCCAAGCTTGGGCGCGGACGGAGCCTCACAACGTATGGAGAAGCATAGGCCTGCACCCAGAGTCAGCTTTGCCGGAAGAATGATGAACTGCAAC